GCCTCCTCTGCCGTGATGCCACCTGGGGAGGGGGTGGACAGGAGGGGGACGCCATCCCCAGATGGTCACTTGGGGGGTAGAGGTGTCAAAGGGATTGTTTGGGGGGAAAACACTCAGTTTTGGGTGACAAAACCCTGTATTTTTGTGTAGGACACCTTGATTTTGGAACCAAAGTTTTTTTAGAATCACAAACTTACATCACACTGCAACAACAAACCTTCCCACACCCTCCTTTCCTGATGTGGGACACCCCCAAAATGTCCCCTTAGGGGGAAGCAGCGCCACAAATCTCTATTTTGGGGGAAAACCTCAAATTTTTGAGTGCCACACCCTGCTTTTTTTAACCACACCCTTTTTTTCTTCTGTGTCCCCCTTTAAAACATCTTCAACAGTGCCCCAAACCTCCATAATTATGGAAAAAACCCAATTTTTGAGTTCCACATCCCGATTCAAAACCAAACCTTTCCACACCCCCTGTTCTCTCTCTGCCCTCCTCCAAAATGTCCCCTTGGGGAGCAAAAGTGTCCTAAACTTCCATAACTAGGGAAGAACACCACATTATTATGTGGGAAGACCCAAATTTTTGCGTGCTTTTGAACCCAAACCTTTGTCTTTTGACCCCAATCCTTTTCCTCTGTCGCCCCCGTACCGGTTTTGAGCAGCTCTGCCAGGAGCCCGCCCCACTCGGCGCGGAAGGTGTCGGCGCCGGTGAGGCTGCCGTCGCCGCCGATCACGCACAGGTTGGTGATGCCGCGCTTGACCAAGTTCCGCGCGGCGCGGAGCCGCCCCTCGCGCGTGCGGAAATCCTGGCAGCGCGCGCTGCCGATCACCGTGCCACCCTGGGGAGGGACGGCGGGGCACGGCTGGCCTCGGGGCTGGCCGGCTGTCCCTGTGTCTGTCCACCCATCTCATCCCCATATCCGTCCCTGTGTCTGTCCACCCATCTCATCCCCATATCTGTCCCTGTGTGTCCATCCACCCATCTCATCCCCATATCTGTCCCTGTGTCTGTCCACCCATCTCATCCCCATGTCTGTCCCTGTGTCTGTCCATCCTCCCATCTCATCCCCATGTCCATACCTCTGTCCCTGTGTCCATCCACCCATCTCACCCCCATATCTGTCCCTGTGTCCATCCACCCATCTCACCCCCATATCTGTCCCTGTGTCTGTCCTCCCATCTCATCCCCATATCTGTCCCTGTTGTCTGTCCTCCTATCTCATCCCCATATCTGTCCCTGTGTGTCCATCCTCCCATCTCATCCCCATGTCCATACCTCTGTCCCTGTGTCTGTCCACCCATCTCATCCCCATATCTGTCCCTGTGTCTGTCCACCCATCTCATCCCCATATCTGTCCCTGTGTCTGTCCACCCATCTCATCCCCATATCCGTCCCTGTGTCTGTCCACCCATCTCATCCCCATATCCGTCCCTGTGTCTGTCCACCCATCTCATCCCCATGTCTGTCCCTGTTTCTGTCCACCCATCTCATCCCCATATCTGTCCCCGTGTCTGTCCACCCATCTCATCCCCATATCTGTCCCTGTGTGTCCATCCTCCCATCTCATCCCCATGTCCATCCCTCTGTCCCATCCTCATGTCCATCCCTCTGTCCATCCATCCATCCCATCCCTCTGTCCATCCACCCATCCCATCCCCATGTGCGTCCCTGTGTCCACCCTTCCCTCCCTCCCCCCATCCCAGCTCTGCTTTTGGGTCATTTTCTGCTGAGCCCAGGCTCAGACTGGAACCAGTGAGGGACAAACTGGGACCGGTGAGGAGCATGCCCAATGCCTCCCCAGCCCAGGAGGGGAGTCCCCAGTGTCCCCCTGTCCGTGTGTCCCCCTGTCCGTGTCCCTCACCAGCTGCAACATCATGGACACGCTTTCCCACGTGGCCTCCCTGATGTGGTCACCTCCGTCCACCAGCCCCTGGTAGCCCTGGGGGGACAGAGTGGACAGTGGTTCAAGGACAACTTTTCCCAACTTTTGTGGTGGGGCTGTGGAATTTTGGGGTTGGGGCTGACACTGACCTCACACACGAAGAACACCTTGGCCCCGGTGTAGATCCCCACACGCACCACGGCGCGCACGGCCGCGTTCATGCCTGTGGGGCACCGCCATCATCCTGTCACCCCTTGGTGACATCCCCAAGCCCCTGGCACCTCCCTGCGGCTGCCACCCCTCGGTGGACACCCCCAATCTGTCCCCCCCGTACCCCCCCTGTCCCCCCCCCCTCGCAGCTGCCACCGCCTGAGTTATTTTTGCCCCGGTGACCTTTGGTGGCAGCGCCTGACACGGGTGACAAACACGGGGGTGGGGGGAGGGGACACTCCGGGGGGGCCCCCATGGCCTGGCACCCCCCCCACGTCCATCCGCCCCCCATCCTTGGGACCCCCCAGAAAAATCCCAAACCCGGGGATGAATCCTTGGAATTTTGGGCAATCCTGATTATTTTGGCTCAGTGCCAAAGTGCCACCGGTGCCCACTTGGAGTCCCCTGCCCGAATTTTGTCACTGTTGTTCCCCTCCGCTATCCCAAAACTCCTCAAGCTCCACCCGACCCCAAACCCCCACCAAGGTCATTCCCAGAACCTCAATCCAGGGAAAACCCTGATGGTTGTGGCATCAAAATCCCGATTTTTACCTCCAAAGGAGCAGTTTTAGGGACTTGGGGGGGGGTGAGGGATTTTGGGGGGAATTTTAGGGGGGGGGGATTTGGGGCAGGGGCTTAGTGATCCCGGGGATTCCGGGATCCCAAGGGTTTTATGGAGTTTTGGAGGAGGGGGGGAGAAATTCGGGGGGGATTTCCAGGGATTTCGGGCTGGGGATTTCTAGGGATTTTGGATCCCGGGGTTTTGGGGTCCTCTTACCCTGCGCGTCCCCCCCGGAGGTGAGGACGGCGATGGCTTTGCCGACCCCCAGGGTCTCGGTGTGCTGGGGTCCCGCGGGGCTCGAGGGCATTTTCCTGCCTGGAAAAAATCGGGAAATTCGGGCAAATCCCAAGGCGGGAAGAGCAGCTCTGTCCCTCCGGGTGACGCTGCCAGCGCAGAGTGGCACCGCTGGGGAGGAACGCGGCGACACTGGGACAGCCCCGCTGACACCGACGGGACACTCCCGCCCGGGGGGGCGTGGGGGGACTCCTTACTGGGAGTTCTCGTTACTGGTCCCAGTCTCGATTCCCTACTGGGGCCAGGCTGTCCTTAGTGGTCCCAGCCTCTCCTTACTGGTCCCAGTTTGTCTTTACTGGACCCGGTGCATACTCTCTCTGGGAGCTGCTCCGTCCTTCTTACTGGTGCCAGTCTCTGTTCCGTACTGGTGCCAGTCTGTCCTTACCAGTTCCAGTTTGTTTTTCCTGCCCTGCTCTCCTTAATGGTCCCAGTCCCTCTTTAGCAGGGCCACTTTGTCCTTACTGGTCCCAATTTGTTCTTACTGGTTCCAGTCTTTACTCCCAGTGGGAGCTGCTCTGCACTCCTTACTGGTGCCAGTTTGTCCTTACTGGTGCCACTCTGTCCTTACTGGTTCCAGTCTGGATTCCCTGTTCATCCCAGTCTCTATTCCCTGTGGTTACTGGTCTGCCCTCCTTTCTGGTGCCAGTTTATCCTCCTTACTGGTCCCAGTCCATCCTTACCACTCCCTGTCTGTGTTCCCTGCGGGACTCTGCGCTCCCCACTGGTTCCAGACTGCTTTCCATACTGGTCCCAGTCCCCACTCCCTGCATCTCCCTGTTCCAGTTCCCCGCCGGTCCCAGTCTGGGGGCGTTACTGGTGCCAGTTCCTGTTCCCTGCTGGTTCCAGTACCTCTCCCTAACCGGTTCCAGTTCATCGCCGGTCCCGGTACGGGGCCGTTACCGGTCCGGGTCGCTGTTCCCGGTGGGATCTGCTCTGCTTTTCTTACTGCTCCCAGTCCCCGTTCCCTGCCGCTGCCTCTCCCGGCTCCGGTTCGGTCCCGGTCCCGGTCCCGCGGGCGTTACCAGTGCCGGTCCGCGGGCGTTACCGGTGCCCTCCCGGGGCCGTTAGTGGCGCCAGTCCCGCTGCCCACCGGGAGCACTGACCTGCGGAGCGCCGCCGGCCCGGCCCGGGCGGGAGGAAGGACAGCAGGAGGAGGAGGAGGAGCGCGGCCACGGAGAGCGCGGCCGGGGCCACGAACCGGGACAGCGCCGGGGCCACCGGGACCGCCACCATGGCCCGGAGACAGCGCCACCATGGCCCGGGGACAGCGCGGGGACACGGGCTGGGACCTGGGATTGGCCGCGGGGAGCGCTGTAATGGGATCGGGGTGACGGGATCGGCTGTAATGGGATCGCCCGTTAGGGGATCAGGGTAACGGGATCGGTGTAAGGGGATCGGCTGTGACGGGGTCGCTGTAATGGGATCGGGGTGACGGGATCGGTGTAATGGGATAGGCTGTAACGGGATCGGCTGTTATGGGATCGCCCGTTAGGGGATCAGGGTAACGGGATCGGTGTAATGGGATCGCCCGTTATGAGATCGGGGTAACGGGATCGGTGTAATGGGATCGCTCGTTATGGGATCGCCGGTTATGGGATCAGCTGTAATGGGATCGGCTGTTATGGGATACGCTGTAACAGTTTTGGATGTAGGGACCAGCTGTAACAGGACTGACCATAGGGGCATACTTGGAATGGGATCAGTTGTAACGGGATCGACTGTGATGGGATCGGTAGTAGGGACTCACACACAGAGTGACCCCTCCATAGGGTCACAGCCCCCACAGGATGGCCCCCTATAGGGTCAGAGGCCCCAGAGAATGACCCCCCACCACAGAGTGACCCCTGTAGGGTCACCCCCCCGTCCAGGGTGGCCTCTCCTTTCTGGCTGCCCCCCTGGACCTCCCAGCCGCCAGGGGACGCTCTCCGCTTCCAGCAATGTGCGGCTCGCTCGCCTGCTCTGGCGGCACTTCCGGCAGCGCTGCCGCCGCTCACTTCCGCTTCCGCCGCCTCCTCCTCGCTGCCGCCGCGGAGACCGGGAGAGCCGCGCGCGCTCGGGAGGCTTCCGGTTCCATTTCCGCTTCCGGTGCGGCGGCCGGGCCGGCTGAAGCAAGAGAAGCGGCGGCGGCTCCGGACTCTGCTCCGCTCCCGGACCGCGCTCCTCCCTCTCCCGCTGCCTTCACACCGGACTCCGCCGCCGCCGGGCCTTTTCCCGTGCCAGGTCCTGCCGCTGCCCGGGGCCGAGGCGGCGGCGCTGCCCCCCATGAGGATGGAGGCCCGGGAGGCGGCGCGGGCCCGGCCTGGCCCGGCCTTCAAGGGTTTCGGCGCCGAGAGCAAGGTGCGGAGCGGGGGGCCGCGGGGCCGGGGCGTTCCCAGGCTCCGTTTCCACCGGGCCGGAGCCGCCACAAGTCCTTCCCTCACGGAACCACGGCGGGATTTGGGCGGGAAGCGGATTTGGGAATATTCGGGACAATTCCCCCATCCCAGGAAATCCTAGGGCACTTCCAGCCGCGGTTTCTCTGGGGAAACCCAGCCTGGAAACCTCAGAAGTCAAATCCCAATCCCGGTTTTGGGAATTCCCCGTTCCCGGCGTGGGAATTCCGCCTGGAATGTGCCAGGAATGGGGAGCCCAAGTGTGGGATCCACCGCGGGTCCGGAGCTGCGAAATTCAGGATTTTCCCAGCAGTTTTTGCGTTCTTGCTGCTCCATAAATTCTCTCCACAAAATATGGGAGTTGTAACCTTTAAAAGTTGGGAATTTGGGGAGCTGTGATGGGTAGGAATTGCAAACCTCAGGAATTGTAAATTTGGGGAATTATTAATTTTAGGAATTGTGAATTTTGGGAATTGTGAAGTCCTGCCACCATTCCCAGCCAACCCTGGGAACACCCTAACCTTTTCCCTGTAATTCTCCTGGATTCTCCCCTGGCATTTTCCCACTTCTAAGCAAAATATTGGAATTTTTCCCATTATTTTTTTTCCCCCAGTTTTTCCTCCCCAAACTCAGCAGCTTCTCCTGCCCTGCTGGGAACTCCTCCTGCTCCCTCAGCTTCACCCCAGGTGAGTTTTCCCTCTGGAATTTTGGGTTTGGGGACGTTTTCCCTGAAAACAACCCCTGGAGAAGGGGAAATTTGGGTTTTTCTGGGAACTCCCAGTGTTTTTCCCCTCAGAAATTCCTGAAAGATTCCCAGGAGCCAACGGGCAGTGGAGGAGCTCCAAGCCCAGGGTGAGCCGAGGCTCCTTCCTGGAGACCCGTAAAAATTCCAGGTGGGTGCAGCAGATCTCAGATTTCCAGGTTTTGGTTGATATTTTTGGTGGGGTTTAGTTGGGATTTTGGAGTTTTGTGATTTGACAATTTTTTGAGGTGGTTTTATTTTGGGGATTTTTTGATGGTTTTAATTTCTTTTTTGGGGGGATTTTTTTGGTGGGTTTAATTTGGGATTTTGGTTATTTCGGGGAGGATTTTTTGGTAGGGATTTGGATTCTTGGTTTTTTTTTGTTTTGGTTTTTTTTTTGGGATTTTGAAGCAGGGGGGATTTGGGGAATTTAATTGGGGGGGGTTTGGGTTTTTATTTTTTGTTTTTGTGTGTGATTTTTTGGGGCTTTGTTTGGAATTTGGGGGCCTTTCATTTCTCCTTCCGTGCAACCTTTTGCGATTTCATCCGGGATTTTAAGCCGATTTTCAGGATTTACAACAAACCCGCGGTGTTTTTCCCTCCTTCTAGCGGGAACCCCAGCACTTTTGGGGGAAAATCCGCCCTCCATGGAGCCTCCTTCCCCCTGAAGCCGGCCCCGAGCCCCTCCTGGAGCCGCCGCAGCCCCAAGAAGGCCCCGCGGCGCTTCCTGAGCGCGGCCGAGGAGGTGACGGGGAAACCCTGGGGGATCCCAGGGATTTGTGGGCTTGGGGTGTCCAGGCAGGGCTGGGCATGGAAATCCTGAGAAATCCTGGGGATTTGTGGGCTTGGGGTGTTCTGGCAGAGCTGGGAATGGAAATCCTGAGAAATCCTGGGGATTTGTGGGGTTGGGGTGTTCTAGCAGAGCTGGGAATGGAAATCCTGAGAATTTGTGGGGTTGGGGTGTCCAGGCAGGGCTGGGAATGGAAATCCTGAGAAATCCTGGGGATTTGTGGGCTTGGGGTGTTCTGGCAGGGCTGGGAATGGAAATCCTGAGAAATCCCGGGGATTTGTGGGCTTGGGGTGTCCAGGCAGGGCTGGGAATGGAAATCCTGAGAAATCCTGGGGATTTGTGGGGTTGGGGTGTCCAGGCAGGGCTGGGAATGGAAATCCTGGGGATTTGTGGGGTCGGGGTGTCCAGGCAGGGCTGGGGGCACATCCGGGGTTTAAACACCAAATTCTTGGGGTTTTCCAGCCCTAAATCCCATTTTTTGGGGGTTTTTCTCAGCATTGCCTTCGTGGGATTCCACCAGATCCCTGAATCTGGGGGGAATCCCTGGGATCAGTGAATTCCAGGGTTTTGAGAAGAGTTTTTTCCGTGATCTTTCCCCGCAGACGGTGCGGGAGGAGGAGCGGGAGATTTACCGGCAGCTGTTGCAGATGGTGACCGGGAAGAGATTCTCCAGCTGCAAACCCTCCCCGCTGCTCCCCTTCCACCTGTGAGTCGGGAGCATCCCAAAAAATCCCTGCAAACCTGCCCCACATCCCAAAGAACCTCGAAATCCCTGCTCGAATCCCAAAAAACCCTCTGCAAATCCCTGAAAATCATCAGAGACCCTGCCCAAACCCCAAACCTCTCCAAAACCTCTTTCCTAACCCCTCCAAAAAAATTTAAATCCTCTCCCCAAATCTCAAATTTCCAGTCTTTTCCCAGGAATTTCCCTAACTGGGAATTTTGATTTTTTTTTTTTGCAGCTCCCGCTGTCCCCGCTCTGGCCCCTCCCTGCCCCAGGAGGCTCCCAGGGATGATCCCGAGGCACCGGAAATTCACAAAATTCCGGCTCCTGTTCCACATTCCCCAGAGCCACCCCAGAATTCCCAAAATCCCCCCCTGGGCCCCTCTCCAGGGTTTCCTGGGGAGTTCCAGCCCCGGAATTCCGCGGCCCCACAGCAGCGGGAGGAGGAGCCAGGAGCTGAGGCACAGAGTGAAGGTAAAGATTCCTGAGAATTGCAGGAAAATAACCCCTAAACCACCAAAATCTCGAATAAAACAAGACCACAAATAAAACCCCCCAAAAAATCTGAAATTCACTAAAAAAAAACCAAAAAAATCCCAAAAAACTCCCCAAGAAACTCCCCAAGAAAATACCCCCAAAATCCCCCGAATCCCAAACAAAATGAAACCAAATCCCAAATAACCCCAAACTCTGGGAAAGGGATTTAAATTCTGTGGCCAATCTGGAGTATTTATTCAGGATTGGGAAATATTTGGGGTAGGAATCAAGGGGGACAGAAATCCAGGAACTTTTCCCATTTTTAGGGTCAGATTCTGTCATTTTGCTCAAGGTCAAGGATTCCAGAACTCCAGCTCCAAGGTAAGGGGTGCGAAATGGGGGGATTTGGGGGATTTTTAGGGACACAGGGAGGTGACAATGAAGAGAGACAGAGTGAGAATTTGGGAAATGAGGGAATTCTGGGGAAATTCCGGTATTTTTGGTCACTTCCAACCCTCCTTTTTCTCTCTTTCCAGCCTCCCCTTTTTCCAGGCCGAGCTATGGATCAAAGAGCTGTGAGTTAATATTCCCTGCTGGCTTTTCCTGGGATTTTTGGGGTGGAAAAAACCAAAATCCTGATTTTTTTAAATCAATTTGTCCATGAAAATTTTGTTTTTTTTCTAGGACCAGTGTCTATGATTCCCGAGCCAGAGAGAGGTGGAGGCAAATAGAGGAGCAGAAAGCTTTGGCCCTGCAGCTCCAGAGCCAGGTGAGAATTACACGGAAAAACACCCTGGACTGGGACAATTAGGGAAAAACAGTTGGAAAACAGGAAAAATCAACTTTTTTAGCCCTTTTTTTCTTCTCAATCCTGGGATAAACAGCAAAGAAAAGAGGGAATATTGTCTCACATTGCAAACTACAGGAAATTTTGTCACTGGGAGGGTGGTCAGGGCTTGGAAAAGGAGTCAGAATCCAGGGAAATGTGTCGTAACGGCGGGAGAGATGCGACACACCATATGCGATGAATAGCAAATCTCGAAGTTTATTGAAAGCTTACACATTTTTATATTAGTGTTAATGAAGCTTATGCATATTGCAAAATCTGAGTTCATTATTGGTTAAAGCACACTATAATCAAACACACTTACTTCTATTTCTTAACAATTATTTTGCTTCTATGTGTACATTCTTCTAATTTTTCTACTTTGGGATAACTACATTTTTTGGCAAGCAATTTTCTCCCCCGTCTTCCCGTTTTAGAGAAGGTCACTGTGACCTTCGTCAGTAATTGGGCACCGGTTGCTCAGTTCCCAGCTTGTTTCTCTTACCTTTATCCATCGGTATCACATCGAAATGTCCTTTCTCAGCTAACCAATAATCCAAAAAGCTCTCTACAGAAATGGGGAAAAACGCAGCTGTGGTACTTGGGGACAGGCCTGGGTGGCTCTGTGAGGGTTTGGTTCCGTAATCCCGGAGCTTTGTCCCAGTTCCATCACTCCCAGGCGCTCCTTTTCCCTCTCTGTGCCTCCGCAGCGGCTGCAGGAGCAGGAGCGCTCGGTGCAGGACCTGGTGGATCTGCACCTGCGCGTGCCCCTGGAGAAGGAGATCCCGGTGGCCGTGGGGCCCGAGGGCCCCGAGCGCACCCGGCCCGGCCAGGCCGACGACGACTTCCCCGAGATCACCGAGGTGGGGCTGAGCCCGGGGGCCCTGGGCGCAGGGATGGGCCCTGAGCGCTCCTCACGGTGAAACTGTGGCTCGGGAATCGGTTTGGTGTTAAAGCCTTGGGGATTTGGGGCACAAAAAGCAGCAATTCTATCTCAACTGAGGCAGATCAGTTCAGGGAATTCCTGGGATTTTGGGGTCAGTTCAGGGAATTCCTGGGATTTAGGGATTTTGGGGTCAGTTCAGGGAATTCCTGGGATTTTGGGGTCAGTTCAGGGAATTCCTGGGATTTGGGGTCAGTTCAGGGAATTCCTGGGATTTTGGGGTCAGTTCAGGGAATTCCTGGGATTTGGGGTCAGTTCAGGGAATTCCTGAGATTTAGGGATTTTGGGGTCAGTTCAGGGAATTCCTGGGATTTTGGGGTCAGTTCAGGGAATTCCTGAGATTTAGGGATTTTGGGGTCAGTTCAGGGAATTCCTGAGATTTAGGGATTTTGGGGTCAGTTCAGGGAATTCCTGGGATTTTGGGGTCAGTTCAGGGAATTCCTGGGATTTGGGGTCAGTTCAGGGAATTCCTGAGATTTAGGGATTTTGGGGTCAGTTCAGGGAATTCCTGGGATTTTGGGGTCAGTTCAGGGAATTCCTGAGATTTAGGGATTTTGGGGTCAGTTCAGGGAATTCCTGGGATTTTGGGGTCAGTTCAGGGAATTCCTGAGATTTAGGGATTTTGGGGTCAGTTCAAGGAATTCCTGGGATTTTGGGGTCAGTTCAGGGAATTCCTGGGATTTGGGGTCAGTTCAGGGAATTCCTGGGATTTTGGGTCAGTTCAGGGAATTCCTGAGATTCAGGGATTTTGGGGTCAGTTCAGGGAATTCCTGAGATTTAGGGATTTTGGGGTCAGTTCAGGGAATTCCTGGGATTTGGGGTCAGTTCAGGGAATTCCTGGGATTTAGGGATTTTGGGGTCAGTTCAGGGAATTCCTGGGATTTGGGGTCAGTTCAGGGAATTCCTGGGATTTTGGGGTCAGTTCAGGGAATTCCTGAGATTTAGGGATTTTGGGGTCAGTTCAGGGAATTCCTGAGATTTAGGGATTTTGGGGTCAGTTCAGGGAATTCCTGGGATTTTGGGGTCAGTTCAGGGAATTCCTGGGATTTTGGGGTCAGTTCAGGGAATTCCTGGGATTTTGGGGTCAGTTCAGGGAATTCCTGAGATTTAGGGATTTTGGGGTCAGTTCAGGGAATTCCTGGGATTTAGGGATTTTGGGGTCAGTTCAGGGAATTCCTGGGATTTGGGGTCAGTTCAGGGAATTCCTGGGATTTTGGGGTCAGTTCAGGGAATTCCTGGGATTTAGGGATTTTGGGGTCAGTTCAGGGAATTCCTGAGATTTAGGGATTTTGGGGTCAGTTCAGGGAATTCCTGGGATTTAGGGATTTTGGGGTCAGTTCAGGGAATTCCTGGGATTTGGGGTCAGTTCAGGGAATTCCTGGGATTTGGGGTCAGTTCAGGGAATTCCTGAGATTTAGGGATTTTGGGGTCAGTTCAGGGAATTCCTGGGATTTTGGGGTCAGTTCAGGGAATTCCTGAGATTTAGGGATTTTGGGGTCAGTTCAGGGAATTCCTGGGATTTTGGGGTCAGTTCAGGGAATTCACTTCAGGGAACTCCTGGGGTTTGGGCATGGGGATGGAGCCCTGCACCCTCCTCCTGGTGAATTTATGGCTTAAGGGACAATTGGGCATGAAAGCCTTGGGTATTGGGGGTCAGGAAAAGCAGGAATTCCACCTGCCCTTTGCCCAGGAAATGGAGAAGGAAATCAAGAGCCTTTTCCGAGGAGGGAACCAGGATGAGGTGCTGAGCGAGGCTTTCCGCCTGACCATCACCAGGAAGGACATCCAGACCCTCAACAACCTCAACTGGCTCAACGACGAGGTGAGAGCCAAACAATTCCCATTTCCAGCACCTTGGGAGGGGAAAATGGTCGGGTTGGGTGCTCGGAGGGGGTTTGTGGGTTGGGATAAATCTGTGGGGGAAGCTCCGCAAAATAAAAATAATTGAATTTTACGTGGGGAATTAATGATAGTGGGAGGATGGGATTGGTGTGAACAGGGGAAACAATAAGTAAATCTTAAACACAGACCTAAATAAAGGCAGATTCCTAAAAATCCTCGAGTTTTCTCTGGAATGTTTTACTACAATGGAGCTACTGCAAACCCCCCTGGGTTTTTTGAAGATTTTAATGCAAATCTTCCTTTTTGGGGCTTTATTCCCTAACTTTACACAGCGCCACAAATCCAGACACCATAATAAAATAAATTAAAATCTACTAAAAAAAATCAAAAACCTGGTCTGTTTTCCCTTTTTTTTTCCCCCTAGATTATAAATTTCTACATGAATTTGCTGATGGAGAGGAGCAAGGACAAGGATTTGCCTGCAGTCCATGCCTTCAACACCTTTTTCTTCACCAAATTAAAGACTGCAGGGTACCAAGCTGTGAAAAGATGGACAAAAAAAGTGGATATTTTCTCTGTGGATCTGCTCCTGGTGCCCATCCACCTGGGAGTGCACTGGTGCCTGGCCGTGAGTGCCTGAATTATCCCAAAAAATCTTCAGTTTGGGATTTAGGGCCCAAATTTTGTTGGTTTTTGGGTGGCGCTGACGGGAAAAATTTGTGTTTGTGTCTCAAATCTGAGTTTAAAGGGAAATACAAAGGTAGGACCAGCTTTTTGTGGGGTTTTTAGTACTTAAATTCAGCCTGGAGGTCATTTTGGGGAATTTATTCCCTTGAGAAGATCTGATTTCCTCGTTCCCACCAACTGCTGGTGCCACAGGATCTTGTTAAAGAGATTTAGGCCACAGATATTTCACTTTTCCCCTTCCTTTGTCCCATCCCCTGCCCTGGCTCCTGGGATATTGCAGGGATTTTCAGCTCCTTTAGCAAAAGCCTCCTTAATTTATTAATTCCTGCTTGAATTGTTAATTCCATGGAAAAGAGGTAATTTCCAGCGAAAATGGCATGGGAATGGGGAGGGAAAACACTGAAAACCACCTAGATCTGGCCCTTGAGAGATGGGGCAAAACTGTTGTAAACCCGTGGGAGGAATAATAGTAACAACAATAATAACAAAAACAATAATAACAATAATGGCTCATTTAGACATTCAGGGATTAAAAACACAGCAGGAAAGGGGGATTTTTGGGGGAAATCCTCCTGTGGTGTGAAGCACCCTGCATTGTTTTTGCAAGAAAAGCATTCCTGATTTTTTTTTCCCCATTTTAAGGATTTTTTCTCTGTGCAGGTCGTGGATTTCAGGAAAAAAACCATCACCTACTACGATTCCATGGGAGGGATCAACAGTGAGGCCTGCAGGATCCTGCTGTGAGTGAAATCCCTTCCCTGGCAAAATCCCACTCCTGCTTCCCCAGCCTTGGAAACTCCAACTTTACCCAGTTTTGGGCTTTTTTGGGGTCATTTTTGGGCTTTTTTGGGGTCTTTTTTGGGCTTTTTTGGGGTCATTTTTGGGCTTTTTTTGGGTCATTTTTGGGCTTTTTTGGGGTCTTTTTTGGGCTTTTTTGGGGTCATTTTTGGGCTTTTTTGGGGTCATTTTTGGGCCCTTTTAGGGTCATTCTTAGGTCCCTTTAGGGTCATTTTATGGGGGCTCCTTTAGGGTCATTTTTGCTCCCTTTTTCAGGCTCATTCTCCCTTTCCAGGACATGAAAAATTTCTTCTCTTCCCTGCAATTCTCTCCCCATGGGATTTTGGCCTCTCCTGATCCAATTTTGGATTTTTTGGGGGGATTGATTTGTGAATCCCAACCCTGAATCCCTTTGGGAACAGCCAGACAGAGCAGGATCTCAGAATTGCCATTTTCCCACGAATTCCAGCTTTTCCTGCTCCTTTTCCCACAGGCAGTACCTGAAACAGGAAAGTTTGGATAAGAAAAGGAAGGAATTCGATACCAATGGATGGGCCCTGCTGAGCAAGAAGAGCCAGGTCTGGACAGCCCAGAATTCCCAAAGAATTCAGCATTTCCTTGGATTCCCAGCCCTTTTTGGGCCCCTTTTCCCTCAGGGAAGAAAAGGAGGGAACAAATCCCAATCCTTGGGAGAGGAAATTTTCCACAGGGGAAGGGTTTGGGTGGGATTTGGGCAAGGTGGGAATGCAAAAAATCCCGGAATTCTGGGGCCTTCCCGCAGATTTCGCTGGGATTTCGGGGTTTTTCCTGGCCTGGGGGGTTTGGGAATGTGGGGGTTTGGGAATGTGGGGGTTTGGGAATGTGGGGATTTGGGAATGTGGGGGTTTGGGAATGTGGGGATTTGGGAATGTGGGGGTTTGGGGGCTGTGGGGATTTGGGAATGTGGGGGTTTGGGAATGTGGGGGTTTGGGAATGTGGGGGTTTGGGAATGTGGGGATTTGGGGGCTGTGGGGGTTTGGGGGCTGTGGGGATTTGGGAATGTGGGGATTTGGGAATGTGGGGGTTTGGGGGCTGTGGGGGTTTGGGAATGTGGGGGTTTGGGAATGTGGGAGTTTGGGAATGTGGGGGTTTGGGAATGTGGGGGTTTGGGAATGTGGGGGTTTGGGAACGTGGGGGTTTGGGAATGTGGGGGTTTGGGAATGTGGGGATTTGGGAACGTGGGGGTTTGGGAATGTGGGGGTTTGGGAATGTGGGGATTTGGGGGCTGAGGGGGTTTGGGAATGTGGGGGTTTGGGGGCTGTGGGGATTTGGGAATGTGGGGATTTGGGAATGTGGGGGTTTGGGGGCTGAGGGGATTTGGGAATGTGGGGGTTTGGGGGCTGAGGGGATTTGGGGGCTGTGGGGTTTTGGGAATGTGGGGATTTGGGGGCTGAGGGGATTTGGGAATGTGGGGGTTTGGGGGCTGTGGGATTTGGGAATGTGGGGGTTTGGGAATGTGGGGGTTTGGGGGCTGAGGGGATTTGGGAATGTGGGGATTTGGGAATGTGGGGGTTTGGGAATGTGGGGATTTGGGAATGTGGGGGTTTGGGAATGTGGGGTTTGGGAATGTGGGGATTTGGGGGCTGAGGGGATTTGGGGGCTGTGGGGGTTTGGGAATGTGGGGGTTTGGGAATGTGGGGGTTTGGGAATGTGGGGATGTGGGAATGTGGGGATTTGGGAATGTGGGGGTTTGGGAATGCGGGGATTTGGGAATGTGGGGGTTTGGGAATGTGGGGGGTTTGGGAATGTGGGGGTTTGGGAATGTGGGGGTTTGGGGGCTGAGGGGATTTGGGAATGTGGGGGTTTGGGAATGTGGGGATTTGGGGGCTGTGGGATTTGGGAATGTGGGGATTTGGGAATGTGGGGATTTGGGAATGTGGGGATTTGGGAACGTGGGGGTTTGGGAAGGTGGGGGTTTGGGAATGTGGGGATGTGGGAATGTGGGGGTTTGGGAATGTGGGGGTTTGGGAATGTGGGGGTTTGGGAATGTGGGGATTTGGGAATGAGGGGAGGATTTGGGAATGCTGATTCCCGTTTTCTCGGCAGGAGATCCCGCAGCAGATGAACGGCAGCGACTGCGGGATGTTCGCCTGCCGCTACGCCGAGTGCATCTCCAAGGACAAACCCATCAACTTCACCCAGGTACCCGGGGCTGCACAGGGAACAAATCCCAAAATTCCCACCCTACAGACCCCAAAATTCCAGCGGGATCTGGGGGAGTGTCCAGCATCCCTCACCCAACCCAAGGAATCCCCGCCTTATTTCCCATTCCTGGCTGTGCCCCCCTCTGCCCTATGGAATTGTCCCCAAATCCCTGTCCCAAGCCCCTGGAAAAAGCTCCCAAGCCCCAGTGCCAGGGAAAATCCCAAATATTCCCCCAAAAATCTGGGACGAATCCCCCCCCATTCCTCCCCAAAATTCCAAGGAATTCCTGGGTAATTCCCAGCCTCCAGGATTATCCCACTTCCCTCCTCCAGCATTTCCAGATCCCAACACTCCCAAATTCCCTCAGGTCCCAGACCCCCAGGGTCAGGAAAACCCCAAACTTGCCACAATCCCAGCGAAATCTGGGATGAATTCCCCCATTTTTTGCCAGAATCCCCAGAAATTCCCAGCTTTTTCCCTCCATTCCCACAACCCCAAATCCCCAAATTTCCCCCTTTCCCATTATTTTCCATGGGGAAAAAAGCCTGAATCTGCCCCTGGATGAGCAAACCTGACCAAAATTCCCGTTTTTTTCCCATTTCTCCCCCCCAAAATTCCCAAAGCAACACATGCCCTACTTCCGGAAGAGGATGGCCTGGGAAATCCTGCACAGGAAGCTCCTCTGATGCCAGAAAAATCCTGAAATTCCACAGATTTGGGTCAGAAGAATCCCAGGATTCTCCTGGGGACGCAGCCAAGGAACTCCGGGTCCTGCTCCTCCCAAACCCCCCCAGCATTCAGGGGGAATAGAAAAGTTTGGAAGCACAGTTGGGATTCTTTGGAGTTTCTTTCCCTCTTTTTTGAGATTCCAGGATGGATTTTCCCGCTTTTCCGTCTGCTGGGATGGGGGAAATTTGGGAATTTTGGGCTTTTTTTGGAGCTGGATTTTTGGGAAAAGGGAGGAGCCTCCTTGGATTTGGGTTGGGAAAATCTGGATTTGGGAAAAGCTGGGGAAAGGTTTGGCTCTGGAGGGAATTTTTGGGGATCGTTCCCATTTTTTTTCCACCTCATTCCCAAAGTTTGTGGATTTTATCCATAGGAGAACTTGGATTGGAATCCCTGGGAATAATTCCTGCTTAAATCCTGTTTTTTCTTCCCAAATTCCCACTTTTGGGTGATTTTTCCAGGATTAAGCTTTGGAATGCCAAAATTCCTCTGGATTTACACCCAGACTTCGCTTTTCCAAGGGATAAATCCCAAAACCTGAGCAAAATCTGGGAATTTTGGTGAATTTTTGGTAATTTTCCCTTCCTTTTCAGGCTGCTTCATCCCAGCAGCTCCTGTTGCTTTTTCCAGTTGCTTTTCCCACTTTTTCCATGAAAAAATCCTCCCAAAGCGCAGGAACTGCAGAACCATGGGAAAAGCCCCAAAATCCTGGAATTCCTTCAAATTTTCCCAAACAATACCCAGGATTTATTTGGGGAGCTTTTCCCACCCCTTTCCCTGGATTAATTTATTCCCAAATTTTTTGGACCTTCCCAAGCCTCTGGATTTGCTCTTCCTGGTGGAAAAGATGATTTTTAATAAGAAAAGTGGGGGAAAATCCCAAGTTTTTGTATTTTCCCTCTCCTGCAGGAGCTGGGAATTTTTTCTATTTTTCCCGAGCTGGGAGATGAAGTTTTGTACCAAATTCCCGAATTTTTGGAGCCCCTTTTCCCAGTTTTTTCCAGCCCTTCGTGTCCCTTTGGATCCCAAACTCCCTCCCCTGTTTTATACCAGATTCATTTCCTACTTTTTTTATCTTTTAATGAAATTAAAGATCTAAAAAAAAAAAAAACAAACCTGGAATTGAGGAATTTTCCTGTTTTTTATGCTAGATAAGAACACATTTTAATTACGAGTTTATAAACATGCGATAAATTTAATTTTTTTATTTTTTTTTTGCCAGCTCCTCATGTGCTAGGTGACGTTGTTCAGATGCAGTTGTACATTTATTTATTTGTCTGTCTCCATTCCTGTCCACAGTGGGAATCTCTGGAAAAGGGTTTGGAGTTCGTCCTCAGCTGAAGAAATCAGAGAAAGCGCCCGAAAACCTGGGAAAAATGCCCCAAAATCCCGGGAAAATGCCCCAAAATCCCGGGAAAATGACTCAAAATCCCAGGAAAATGACTCAAAACTCAGGGAAAATGACTCAAAATCTGGGAAAAATGCCCCAAAATCCCGGGAAAATGCCCCAAAATCCCGGGAAAATGCCCCAAACCACAAAAAGATGCCCCCAAACCAGGGGATGCCTGTGCCAAAATCAGACACAAATGCCCCAAATGCAGGAAAAATGCCCCAAAATCGGAGAAAGATTCCCCATAATTCAGGGCTGGGACTCCAAATTCTGAGCTGGGAGACCCCAGAGTTCAGAGCTGCCCCTCAAAACCCTCAATTTTAGGTCACTTTGGGTCATTTTGGGTAATTTTAGGTCATTTTGGGTAATTTTAGGTCATTTTTGACCCCACATCCAGCCAGGTCTGAGCTACCCCCCCACCACCCCCCCCCAAACCCAAATTTGGTCATTTTGGGGTCATTTTTGGATAATTCTTAATCCCAAACCCCAAGCAGGGCACTTTAACCCTCCAAACCCCAATTTTGGGGTCATTTTGGAATAACTACAGGTAATTTTAGGGTAATTTGGGGTAATTTTTCACCCCAGACCCTCCAGATCAGGGCTACTTCCCCCAAACCCCAATTTTGGGGTGATTTGGGGCCATTTTTACCCCCAAACTGGGGCAGGGTCCTCACACTCCAGGAGCCTCCTGATCCTAATTCCTCCTAACGACCCCGACCCCATTAATCCCCCACAGGCTTGAGCCCTCATTCATTAATTAATTAACCCACAGCCCTGCTGGGCTTTTTTTTCTGGTTTTGCCCAAAAGCAAAAAAAAAAATCCCAAAAAAAACCCCCAAAAATCCCAAAAAAAATCCCGAACCTGATCTCCCTTCAAACCCTGGGACCCTCCGCCCAGCCCCCATCAAAAATCTCTTTTAGGGTTGGGGGTTTTTTGGGATTTTGGGTGTTTTTTGGTGGTTTTTAAATTTTTTTTTTTTTTTCCCCTGGATTTATTTATTTTTTGGGATTTTTCCGGTTCTGGGACACAGGGGCGGCTTTGTCCCCGTGGCTTTTGGGGCCCTGGCTCGGTGCCACCCCAAATAGGGATTTTTTGGGATGGGGGGATGGGAGAATTCGCCATCAAAGGATCCAAAATCCCGGCGGTTTTTTCACCTCTTCCTCGCTCCAGACAGGAGGAAAAAAAAGGAAATTTTTAGGGTTTGGAGTTGGATGAAAATCCTGAATTTCAGGCATTTACGGGGCAAAAAATCCCAAATTTTTGGGGGAGATCCTAAAAAATCAAAGGGTGGAGTGACCCCCTGTAACATAGAGTGACCCCCGAGGGAAAAAATTGGGAATTCCAGGGGGAAAATCAGCTTTGGGAATGGGAAAAATCCCTTAAGGGGACACCAAAAAATCCCAAAGTATCCCTCAAACCCATTCATCCAATTCCTAGCGTTTCACCCCAAATACCCCAGAAATAAAAACCACACAAAAAATACCCCCAAAATATTTTTAAAATATTTTTTAATGCACAAGAATATTTTAAAATGCACTAAAAAAAAAAATTTTAAATAGCCCCAAAATATACAAATGCACACAAAAATCTTTTAAAAATTCCAAGCAATATTTGAAAAACACACAAATATTATAACAAATATTCAATAAATGAAAAAGGCCCCAGAAAAAATAAAAATAATACACAAAAATACCCTAAAAATGCACAGAAAATAACAAAAAAAAAATTAAAAATACCAAAAAAAAAAAGAAAACAAAAAAAAACCAAAACACCCACCCTAATAAGAACATTAAAAAATAAAATAAATCAAAATAAATCAAAATAGCCCCCAAAAAAATCCCCGGTGAGGCCCTGAGCGCCCTCCCCCCCTGCTCCCTGAAAGGATCCCTTTGTACCTTTCCCAAAAAATCGCCTTTTCATCCCAAAAAAGGGGGAGGAGGGAAAGGAGGAGGAGGAGGAAGAGGCCGTGTGAGGGGGGAAGGCTTTGACCTCATCCCACAAAAATTCCCGGATTTTTCCCCCATTTCGGGCCCCTTCCCACCTTTCCAGGGGGAAAAGGGACAAAGGGGCTCTGTGTGACAAAACCCCAAAAATGGGACGAAAAAGGAAATTTTGGGGATCTTCCCACCAGGAAAAGGAGGGGAAGGGAAAACCCGAAATGGAAAAAAGGAATTTGGGATTTTGGGGTTTTTTAGGGTTTAAAAGCAAATTTTTGTCCCTACAATTAATTTTTTAGGGGGCAAATTCGCCCCAAAATCAGGTTTTCTGTAAGGCTTGGGGTGTTCAAAATTGCTTTTTTCACATGAATCCGCTGCAAAATTGGGGCTTTGGGGGGTTTTGCATCCCCTAAAAAAATCAATTAGAGGCTCCAAAAAGGATATCATTTTTATATTATTAAATATTAATTTTTAATAGGAAATGTCATGGGATAATTGAAAATATGGAGTGAAATAGCTGTGAAATTAGGAGGAAAAAGTAAAAACTGGGAGTTTTAGGTGAGGACAAAGATCTTTTTTCTGCTCCTCAATCCCAAAAGGATCCTAGGGAATATTTGGGGCCAGATCTGAGGTTATTGCAAGGTGCCAGAGGGAAAAAAATGGAAACTGGGGAGTTTTTGTGTTGAAAAAAGCCCTTTTAGAAGGGAAAAATAAATTCCTGGCTCATGCCCCCGTGAAGGAATTCCCTCTCTGGGTTTGGGGTTTTCGTGGGATTGGGTGGTTTGGGAAAGTGGGAAAAATCGGGAGGGAAATGGGGGGAAATTTGGGTAAAAATAGGGTGGGAAAGGAGCAGAAATTAGGGGGAATGGGAATTAAAATGGGGTAAAAAATGGGGCAGAAATGAGGTTTATATCAGGTGAAAATGGGGAAAAATTTGGGTTAAGATGGAGTAAAATGGGGCAGAAATGGAGGGAGCTAAGAGCCAAATGAGACAGAAATAGGTCAAAAATGGAGTAAAAATTGGGGGAAATTAGGGGTAAAAATGGGGGGGGAAATGGGGAAAAATGGTAAAACCTGAATTCCCCTTCCACTCTCAGAGTAATTTTGAGCCTAAACTGGGGGATTTGGGGAATTTGGGGTGGGAAAATTGAGTCCCAAACCCATCGGGACGGGGCCGGTGACGCTCGCGGGTGGCGGCACCGGGGTGGGGACAGCCAGGATCCCGTGGGGACATCGGGGCGGGGCCGGTTCGGTCCCAAACCACGCCCCCCGCTCTGCCCCCCACGCCCCCTCCCGGTGTCCCCTCCCGGTGTCCCCTCCCGGTGTCCCCTCCCGGTGTCCCCTCCTGTCCCCGGCTCTGGAGAGGCCACCGGGGGCCGGGAAACTGCGGGGGCCCGGCCTTACCTCTGTCCCCGACACTTCCACCGGTGCCACCGCTGCCACCAGCGCCACTGTCAGCTGTCATCGGTGTCACCTGTGCCACTGTCAGCTGTCGTCGGTGCCACCAGCGCCACCAGTACCACCAGTGCCACTGTCAGCTGCCACCAGCGCCACCAGTGCCACCAGTGCCACTGTCAGCTGTCACCTGTGCCATCTGTGCCACTGTCAGCTGTCACCGGTACCACCAGTGCCACCAGTGCCACTGTCAGCTGTCACCTGTGCCATCTGTGCCACCAGTGCCACCAGTGCCACTGTCAGCTGTCATCGGTGTCACCTGTGCCACTGTCAGCTGTCACCTGTGTCATCTGTGCCACCAGTGCCACCAGTGCCACCAGTGCCACTGTCAGCTGTCACCAGTACCACCAGTGCCACCAATGCCACCAGCGCCACCAGTGCCACTGTCAGCTGTCACCTGTGCCATCTGTGCCACCAGTGCCACCAGTGCCACTGTCAGCTGTCATCGGTGTCACCTGTGCCACTGTCAGCTGTCACCTGTGTCATCTGTGCCACCAGTGCCACCAGTGCCACCAGTGCCACTGTCAGCTGTCACCAGTACCACCAGTGCCACCAATGCCACCAGCGCCACCAGTGCCACTGTCAGCTGTCACCAGTGCCACCAGTGCCTCCAGCGCCCCCGGTGCCACCGGCGTGTCCGCGCTCCGAGGAGGGCGGGAGGCGATGTCCTCACCCCCACGCCGCTTTTGGGGGAGTTTTTGGGGGGATGTGGGGAGGGTTCAGGGGGATTTGGGCTCTTCCCCGGCCCCGTCCCGGCTCTGTCACCCTGGGGACAGCAGCGGAGCCGCCCCCAAATTTGGGGAGGGGTCGGGCAGCCCCTCCCTGGCGCTTTGATTCATTCCCAAATTTTCTGTTCCATCGGAAAGCGGCGGCTGCAGCCAAGGCCTGGCCCCGGTCCCGGCCAGATCCGGCCACGCCGAGCGCTCTTCCACCTGCTGGGGCTGGGAACACCCAAATCCCCCCAATCGCCCCCAAAACTCCTCCCAAAGCACTCAAAATCCCGCCCCAATAAATCCCCCCAACCTCCCCCAGAATCTCCCCCAAAACTCCCTCAAACCCCCCTTAAATTCCCCCCAAAACCCCTCAAATCCCCCCCCCCAAATACCGCCCTAACTCCCAAAAACTTGGGGGAGTTTCTGGAGCATTTAGGGGAATTTGGGGGATTTGGGGAAGGGGAAGGGGATGGTCCCTATCCAGGCTGGGCAATCTGGGGGTGGGTCTGCGCTGGCTTTGGGGTCGGGGAGGTTTCCCCGTGTCCCCCCGCTGATCCCACAATTGGCGCCGGGAATTCCGCCGGGAATGGGGACAGCGAAAGGGGGAGGGGTCGCGCTG